TCCCTGCGATCGAAAGTGATCGGACAACAAGACCATGGGTTGAACTTTGGGGTGACTGGCTCCATCGCGTAGACGTCCCTTAGTGCACGCTTCCGCTCCCGCTTGGGAATATGGGTGGCGTATATCATATTTACCGTTTTCACTTGGGGAGGAAATTTCTTCTGTCCTCCTTTGTTCGGCAGCCGGGGCTCCTCGTCGTCATCACTATGCGGCCCCTTTTCCTTGCTTTCGGCATTCAACTTGTCGTCCTGTTTAAACACCCAACATTCTCTGTTGGTGTGGTTGGCTGGTTTATCGGGGGTGCCCTGGATTTGACACGAGCGATCGAGTATGCAGCCCAGACTGGACGGGCCCGGATTGTTTCTTTTGAATGGCTTTTCTGCTGACTGGATTTAGAGCCACTGAATCGACATTGACTGTCGTGTCTTTGGCGTTATCGCCATTGTTGTCACGCTTGTGTCTGTTGCGTCGGGGCTTGCTGTTGCTATCTCTGGCATCTAAAGTGCCAGAATTTCTTGATGTGTTGTTGCTTCGAGCTAGCCAGCTATCCTCGCTCGCACAAAAGCGGGTCATGAGTGTCGTGAGGGCTGCCATGGACTTCGGCTTCTCTTGGACGAGGTGTCGGGCGAGCCATTCATCGCGTATGTTACGCTTAAAGGCTGCTAGGGCTTCAGCATTCGGACAGTCGACAATTTGGTGGTTTTTAGTTAGGAACCGAGTCCAGAATTTCCTAGCTGACTCTCCGGGCTATTGGGTTATGTGACTTAAGTCATCAGCATCTGGTGGTCGCACATAAGTGCCCTGGTAGTTGTCAAGGAATGCGTCTTCCAGGTTTTCCCAACTACCAATGGAGTTTGCCGGCAAGCTATTCAGCCAATGTCGATCCGGTCCCTTGAGTTTTAGTGGGAGGTATTTGATGGCATGTAGATCATCGCCACGGGCCATGTGAATGTGGAGAAGGAAATCTTCAATCAATATCGCGGGGTCTGTTGTACATCGTATGATTCAATATTCACGGGTTTAAACCCTTCTGGGAACTCATGATCCATTACTTCGTCAGTGAAGCATAGGGGGCGTGCGGCGCCTCTATGCCGGGCTACATCACGACGCAGTTCAAATGAGTCTGATCTGTTGTATTCGGCCCGGTCGGATTTGTTTTTAGTATATCCGACGTGACGGTCATCGTCACGCGTTGGGGCGTGCCCCCGTGATCTGTAGATCGATCTTGACTGTCCTGTTTTGTTTTCCAATTTGTCTCACAGGTCATGTGTGTAGCCCTGGGCCTTCGTGTTTTTGCTTGTTTGGCGACGGGGTGCAGGCTGGACTTCGGGCTGATACGCCGCTTTGTCTCGGCCACGAGGTGGCCGGTCAGCCGCATCCTGCGCTGGTAGTGTAGGCTCTAATGCCTCCTCCTCGAGTTGAGGTAGCAACCTGCGCTTTGGGTAACTTTTGGTTGGGCACTCGAGTCCGTATTCCTCGGCTGCCTGGACCTTAGTCCATCTATCAGTTAGCAGATCTTGATCAGCTTGAAGCTGCTGCTGCTTTTTCTTCAAGCTTTTTGCAGTAGCTATAAGTCGGCGCTTGAAGCGCTCCTGCTCGACGGGATCCTCAGGAATGATGAATTCTTCGTCACCGAGGCTCACCTCGTCTTCGGAGAGGGGCATGTAATTGTCATCCTCTGATTCTCCATCCATTGCCTGTTCCTTAGGGCTAGCTTGCCGATCCTCCTATTCGGCCTGTTCAAAGCTTGGCTGGGCGGGATTGTTTTCGTCCTCAGCATTATCCGGAGTGTTATTGTCTCTTGTGCCGGTATCGCTATTCTTGCTATGACGAGGCTTAGAGCGGCGCCGATGACGCCGGTGCTTAGATTGCTTCTCAAGGGGATTATCCCCCGTTGCCTCATCGCCATCGCTTTCTTTGGATGTGTCCACCATATATATATCATATGATGAGGTGGCTGTCCAGCGCCTTGTGGGCGGTGGTTCCTGTTCTTCTCCACCATCGTCGTCCATACCGTCGATGTCTTCGGGTCAAAATCGAGCATGTCGGTTAAGTCGTGGACAGTGGCTATTAAGTGGGTGGTGGGTGGGGAACGAATTACTTCGTCGTCCGCCTCCCACTCAAGCCAGACATAGTTCGTCCAAAAGTCTCCTAACAGGGAGAGAGATTTCAGCGAATTTAGTACGTTGCCCAAGGGCTAGTGCTGAAAGATATCCGCGGAGGTAAACTCCATGATCGGTGCCCAATCAGATTCGATAGGCACGGATGCACGCGGTTCGGAGCCTATGGCCGGAGACAAGTCCGAGGTTCCGATGACACAGACCTCATTGGAGGCGAAGTCTGTATTTGGCTCTATCGCCGATGAGTGTGCGGCCTCCGTGGCGGGGTCTATCCACCCGTCCTCGGATGGCGCGATCCGCTTCGGATCTAAGGCCAGGGCAGCTGCAGGTGCGTTCTCCTGAACACCATCCGACGGCAGATCTAGGTCATGCTCATCGTGACTGTTCGACGCACTTGTCATGGGCTCGAGTCCATCGAAGAACAAGTCTCTGCGGATGTCGGCAGTGTAGTTTAGGCTTCCAAACCTGACCTGATGGCCAGGGGCGTAGCTATCGATCTGCTCCAGATGGCCAAGCGAGTTGGCCCGCAGTGCGAAGCCGCCGAATACGAAGATCTGTCCGGGGAGGAAAACTTCACCCTGAACCGCATCGTTGTGGATGGTTGAAGGAGCCATCAAGCCTTATCGTGACGACACAGTGGAACTCTTAATGAAAGCACCAATGTCGGTGTCAAAAACGGCGGATCTCGGGTAAGGGGTTCCGAACTGTGCGTCTAAGGCTAATGGTAACAGGAGGCGGGGGACACAATGTTTACCCAGGTTCGGGCCCTCTCGATGGAGGTAATACCCTACTTCCTGCTTGATTGATCTTGAAGATATGAGTATTACAAGAGTTGATCTACCACGAGATCGTAGAGGCTAAATCCTAGAAGCTAGCCTATGATTATGATTGTTCCTATCCTACGGACTAAACCCTCCGGTTTATATAGACACCGAAGGGGGCTAGTGTTACACAGAGTCGGTTTACAGAGAAGGAAATCTACATATCCGAATAGCCAAGCTTGCCTTCCACACAAAGGAGAGTCCCACCCGGACACGGGACGAAGTCTTCAATCTTGTATCTTCATAGTCCAACAGTGGCACATGTACATAGTCCGGCTGTCCGAGGACCCCCTAATCCAGGACTCCCTCAGACATCACCAACAAGCCAAAGTATATAGGGAGTAGATCATGGCTTGTCTGCCAGCATCAACGAGGTCATTGACGTTAGGAAGAGCCCACTTAAGGGGCCATTTGACAGCACCAAGTGTTTGATGGTGATTGATATGGTTCATCCATGATTAGTATATGTCAGTAAGGGTTTTGTTGAAGTTAACAAACACAGACATAGGCCATACTGGCCAACCATGGTTGTCCTTTTGACTTATGACTAACTAAGACAACCATCGGAGACTAGGCATGGTTTACCAAAATGCGAGTAGCTATTTTTGCTTAGATTAATATATTTTTCGCCTTGAGGCACTACTTGGTTGCCACGGTTGTCACGAGTCTCATATGAAAGGTAGGTATTAGTACATTACCTACA